CTCGGGTGCGAGGATCTCGCGAGCCAAAAGCTCGCGGTTGCGCAAGAGCGCTTGCGTGCTGGAGCGCGTCCGTCGCAGCGCAATGTAGTCGATGGGCTCGTGTCGAATGACGGCTTGCGGTTTGGGCAGGCGGCGCGCGACTGGCTCGAGGCTCCGAAGCTGCCCCGGTACGAGGCCACGCGGCGCCTCGCAGCGCGAACGCTTGGCAGCGATCGGACGCCGCCGGTCGTTGGCGTTGGCGTCGTCCGCCTCGCTGCGGGCGTCGACAAAGTACATGCGTTGTCCTACGAGCCTGACGTTTCGGTCGTTTTTCTATAGGCACCGCTTATTGCATCCAAAGGAGGTCTTATTGCATCCAGGGTGATAATTCAATTCTAGTGGATTTTCACTGAATCGTCTAGCGGATTTCGCAACACTGAGATTCTAATGGATTGTACACTGTAGACGAAATTCTAGTGGATCTCGCTAATTCGTACCTACTGGGTAAGAAGAAGGTAATGACACCAAAAATACAGAAAACCTTGCGATCAATGAAAAGCTAGCGGATTTTGGCCGTCGTATGAAAGTCGGTCCGGATACGGCGGCGGAGGCGCAGCGTCGAAATGAATGGCGGGGGAATGGAATGGTTAGGAGTGCACTTTGGATTTGGCGGGCAGAACGAAAGAATGCGAAGTGACGTGTGCAGCAACGCTGATGCGAAGCGTCCCGGCTGCATGGGCAATCTGACGCGCGTGATCGCTCGCAGCACCACGGGGGGCTTGGACAACTCGTCCGACGACGATCAAGCGGGCGACAAGGAGTTGAGCGACGCGGGCGACGACAGCAGCGACTCGGGTAGCGAGGAAGATGGCAGCAAAAAGTTCAAGACGGTTGCTTTTGCGTCCTCGATGGCGTCGGCCCTCCGAAAACTGTCTCGTCACGCGGTCAACAAAGGCTTCGACTACAAGTACCGCTACGAAAGCAGTCGAGTCGCCGGCTGGGTCAGGGTGTTTGCATGCATTACCCACGTCAAGTGCCCCTATGAATGCGCCTTGGTCCAGCGTCGCGACTGCTACTACATCGAAGAGCGGGGCAAGCATTCCGCCGCCGAAGACGAGGAGACGCGGCGCCACGGCATTCACCCATCGCTGCTTCCGCGCGTCGACGACCTGGCACGCAGTGGGTTGCAGCCAGCACCGCTGTTGCGAGAGCTCAAGCGCGCGTACAAGAGGGATCCCGCGATGCTGCAACGTTTGCCCACCCGGCTGCAACTGAGCAACCGAGCCGCGTACCTGCGTCGGACGCCACGATCAAGCCGCACCTGGACATGATGTACGACGCCCGCACGGCCGAGCAGCACGCAGCGCTCGGATGGCTTACGTTGCCTACTGGGAGTCCATTGGCGAGGCCAAGTACGCCGAAACGTTCAAGAAATCGTGCCTTACCGCCCCATCGACGTGCTGGTGGGCGGCGTCTAGCGTCTAGTGGTGTGCCTGGTCTCGTACCGAATCAGAACCCGATCGAGGCCCACCACCGCTCTCAAAAGCGTATTGCAAAGCTCGGTGCAACGGCGGCTTACGCTCTGAACGTGACGCTTCCCAGTACGTGACTATCATTACTGCAATTGTCTAATTTGCATCAATCCATCAAACGTGTTCGCGTTGTAATCAAAGAAGCAAAAACGAACTCGAAGAGTTCGCATACGTAGTGCTACGCCTGAATGCGTGGGAGTTGGCACCAGCACTTGGTCGTTGGGAGGGAGCTGCGCACGGAGAGATCCATCCCGTGGTGGACCCCACTCGCCGAGGGTTAGCTCGCTCGAGGTCGTACGCAGGCTCCTGTACTCGGACCACCCGACAGAGGAGTGCAAGCCGTCGGGTGTGTTTTTCTAATTTGCATGTACGTACTCTGTAGATATCCTCGCCATGCCATTGCCGCACAAGGACGAGGCGTCGTATGCCAACCTCTGTGACGGCGCTCTCTGCGCCGAGATCGTTCATGCCGCCATGTCAATTATCTCGTCGAAGCGCAGCCTCATGCCTTGGGTCGAGGACGCCGTGGCCTTGGGCTACATCTTCAACGCATCGGCGCACCGTGTCGACCCGGCGTCGTCGACATTAGAACCGACGACCGTCACGCAAGCCCGGTTTCGGCGGTAAGAATCCTCTCCAACATCATGTGTTTGGCGGACTAAGACCTCATTCGTCCCATCCTAGGTACAGGCGGTGTGCTCGGCAAGCTCACCGACCTCAACGACATCAAGAAGCTCTTCTTTTCCTCTCCAGAGTGCGCGTCAACTACGACGTGCATGTGGAGGGCATGAACGGCACCGCTCGTTGGACGATCCAACAGGTATTGTTTGATATCTGAATCGCTTTCGTATGAAACGCAACGAGTCTTTTAGATACACCAGATTCGTGCGAAGTTCGTATGTGAATGCGAGGGCTACGACAAGAACGGGTGGATGTGCAACCACGTCATCGCCGCCATGTCGCTGTGCAACGACATCAACCTTCAAGTAGCCCTGACGGCCATCCCGCTTCGCAAGACGCCGGGAAAGTCGGCAAAGAAGGCTTGGCCAAGTCGACCCGCGGCAAGGTCTTCGCCAAGGCCAAGCTCATAAAGACGTTGACGGAGAAGCCCGCCAAGTGCTTCGGTTGGGTCGTCGGCCGAGTCGTCACCGCCCGGGAACGTGACCTCGAAACTGGCCGTCTTGACCAGACCAAGATTTGCACCGGCATCGTGCACAAGTGGGAGGTCACGATCGACGGCGGCGTCAAGGAAAGCCTCGGCGTCGAAGACTGGCGACGCTTGTCGAGGCGTCGGATAGACTCGGCATCAGGGTGACGTCGACCGAGCTTGCCACGCTTGTCCGAGCCAGAGCCCATGTGCTGCCGTTTCGAAAAGTATGGGTCAGCTCGTAATACATGGTCAAAATCCATCCATATATTGTGCTACTTATTACGCAAAACATTCATATATTGTGGTACTTCCACCACAGGGGCTAATTCCTAGCTAGAGGTACGATTTGGTTCAAATCCGCTGGAATTTCAGTGTTCAAAAATCCGCTAGACGATACCACTACAATAATTTAATATTTACCGTTGCATCCAGAGGTATCGGAAGCACCGAAGACGGCAATGCTTTCGCTATACCAGGAGCAGGCGACGGTGATGCGAGAGGCTTTAGAACCGTCGACGACCGGCGC